TAGTTATCTTAGGGTTAGTTACCTTACCTTAGTAGTTACCGTAGGGTTAGTTACCTTACCTTAGTAGTTACCGTAGGGTTAGTTACCTTACCTTAGTAGTTACTGTAGGGTTAGTTACCTTATCTTAGTAGTTACCGTAGGGTTAGTTACCTTATCTTAGTAGTTACCGTAGGGTTAGTTACCTTATCTTAGTAGTTATCTTAGGGTTAGTTACCTTACCTTAGTAGTTATCTTAGGGTTAGTTACCTTACCTTAGGGTTAGTTACCTTACCTTACTAGTTATCTTAGGGTTAGTTACCTTATCTTTGTAGTTATCTTAGGGTTAGTTACCTAATCCTAGTAGTTACCGTAGGGTTAGTTACCTTATCTTAGTAGTTACCGTAGGGTTAGTTACCTTACCTTACTAGTTATCTTAGGGTTAGTTACCTTATCTTAGTAGTTATCTTAGGGTTAGTTACCTTATCTTAGTAGTTACCGTAGGGTTAGTTTCCTTACCTTAGTAGTTATCTTAAGGTTAGTTACCTTACCTTAGTAGTTATCTTAGGGTTAGTTACCTTACCTTAGTAGTTATCTTAGGGTTAGTTACCTTACCTTAGTAGTTACCGTAGGGTTAGTTTCCTTACCTTAGTAGTTATCTTAAGGTTAGTTACCTTACCTTAGTAGTTATCTTAGGGTTAGTTACCTTACCTTACTAGTTATCTTAGGGTTAGTTACCTTATCTTAGTAGTTATCTTAGGGTTAGTTACCTTATCTTAGTAGTTACCGTAGGGTTAGTTACCTTACCTTAGTAGTTATCTTAGGGTTAGTTACCTTACCTTAGTAGTTATCTTAGGGTTAGTTACCTTACCTTAGTAGTTATCTTAGGGTTAGTTACCTTACCTTAGTAGTTATCTTAAGGTTAGTTACCTTACCTTAGTAGTTATCTTAGGGTTAGTTACCTTACCTTAGTAGTTATCTTAGGGTTAGTTACCTTACCTTAGTAGTTATCTTAGGGTTAGTTACCTTACCTTAGTAGTTATCTTAAGGTTAGTTACCTTACCTTAGTAGTTATCTTAGGGTTAGTTACCTTACCTTAGTAGTTATCTTAGGGTTAGTTTCCTTACCTTAGTAGTTATCTTAGGGTTAGTTACCTTATCTTAGTAGTTACCATAGGGTTGGTTACCTTAACTTAGGGTTAGTTACCTTACCTTAGACGCCCCCTCAAAAGGGGCGTGTCCCTGCCGTTCATATCTTTTGTTTTTAATTTTTTTAATCAGTCCAAGCAGGTTCTCCAAACTAAATCCAACCAGGAACAGCTAGCACGCTACATACAGCTAGCACGCTACATACAACTAGTATGCTACATACAGCTAGCACGCTACATACAACTAGTATGCTACATACAGCTAGCATGCTACATACAGCTAGTATGCTACATACAGCTAGCACGCTACATACAGCTAGTATGCTACATACAGCTAGCACGCTACATACAGCTAGTATGCTACATACAGCTAGCACGCTACATACAGCTAGTATGCTACATACAGCTAGCACGCTACATAGCATGTGTCCATCACTGTTAGCTTAGCGTGTTGCTGGTAGAAAGATGACATCACAGGCACAGAGATTTTACACTTTATTTAATTCCAATCATTTCCATCAGACACTCTGATTTGATTGGACACTCACAACCTTTCCTGCTGGTTTTACGGGGACTAAGGATCCGGTTCTGACAGGTTCTGACCAGGAACTGGACCGGACCTCCTCTATGACCACAAGATCCCAAACCAGATCTCAATTCCGGTTCCACACCAGATCCAGTCCAGTTCTGTTCTGCTTCTCAGTGTGAGCTAGCACACATCATCCAGCTGCAGTGATTGGTCGTCTCAACGCATAATAAAACGGTACTGAATGGTCGGAGGTTTAACACATCAGTGGAAACATTATGTTGAGATGCTGATGGACTACTCAGCCCTTCCTGTTTCTTCATCATCTGGTGGTCTGGGGTTGAGTCCCGCCAGACCGGCTAGACCAGTCCCAACTCCAAACCCATCACAGAAACACCATCTAAATATCATGTGGTTAAATAGTATTTCATACAGTACATGACAGTGGTTAGTAATAACGCTGTTTTAAAATGAGCTCCGCCCCAATAAAAGACACACGCTGGGGGTTGACAGTTTCCTGGAGTGTTAACCGAATACTGAACAATAAAGTTTTACAATACATTGTATGATTTTCAAGTGATGAGAAATGCCTCAAAACTAATAAAAGGGACACTTCAAACGTTAAATCAGACTCCGTTACATCACTCAAAATAAAACAACCAATGAGAGAGCAGGAGGCACACGGGTTGGAAGGCTCCTCTTCTAAGATCTGACCAATCGCGTGCGCCGTGTTTCCATGGCAACCATCAACACTAGAGTCACTTCCTGTTTCTCTCTGGGGCACAACAGTTCAGTCTCTCTCCTAATGCAGTGTGTGTGTGTGTGCGTGTGTGCGTGTGTGTGTGTGTGTGTGTGTGTGTGTGTGTGTGTGTGTGTGTGTGTGTGTGTGTGTGTGTGTGTGTGTGTGTGGAATGCTACGGTAACG